AAGATAAATATCTGTAAGTGTAAGATAGCAGCTACGCGTAGTATGACGTATATGCCGGTGTGTGATACATATGTAAGTATGAACGCGGAACTGCCTACGCATCTCAACCACGACTGCAAATCTAAAATGTAACTTATTACCTCCGCCCAACGGAGTTTGCATAACACTAGGTGGCGACGGCTCTGCGCTGGTGGACACCAGGGGGCGGCGGCTCTGCGGCAGGCACCAGCCGGCGACGCCTCTGTGGTGATAGGCACCAGGTGGCGACGGTGTAGGCTACTTTGTGGCGGCTTTGTGGCGGCGGCGGTGTGGACTGCTCTGTGGGGTTGAGGTCCGTCGGTGAATCACAGAATCTGCGCTCTCCTGCAGGGTGTGCCCTGAAAACTGGCAACGTGCACACACAAAAAAAGACAAAAGGACCAAAGACGTCAGAAGGACAGACAAACTTTCACTCGCAGCTTTCACTCGCAACTATCACACACTGCGCCCTCCTGTGAGCGTACGTTCGTGAAGCTTGCTAAACCCAACTTAATAAGACCATAGCGATATTTATTTCCTACCCAGAACTAGCCGCCCGGCTGTCCAAATATTCGTTAATAATTTCGATATTGTCAATGTGCCAATAAGCCCGAAATCTGTCCATGTTTTTTGTGACTGAGTACGGTGGTAAGTATTAGTCAAAAAAACCCATGATTGATATGAAAATCTAGAGAACCTTGTCATTTGATCCAAGCAAAAGAGTTTCAATATGTTGGCTGAAAAATGCGTCTGTATATGTTTTGACATCAGAGAAAAGCTGGCTATCATTGTAATGACAGAACAACCCCATGTTGTACTGCCAGGACAGCCATAGAGAAATTTGAAGTCCTAAACATGCGTTTTCGTTATTGAAGTCAATTCCGCACTTTGAAACATTTATTCAACCATTCCATCAGGATGACAGAGTGTACAGTATCTGGCTTGCAGACAAGGGTACAGAAGACAGTCCTAGTTGTCACGTTCATCAATGTGTTAGACTACAACTAAAGATCTATGCACACACGCGCGCACACATGCACACACGCGCACGCACCCGCAGCCCACCCCCAACATGCGACCATACAAAACACAATCGATACGTACATGCCAACATACAAAACAATAGCTGAACGAAAAGAAATGAGAATTTCGAAAAAAGTTCCAAAAAAACTTTACAGAACCTATACATGCAATATTACGTGACACGTGTTATGAAGAAATGAATACAACATACGTACATAGAGATGATCACGCCACAGGTGGCATTGCAATGATATCCGAATATCTGCACGTACCACATTACGACGCACAAACAATGTGGTAAATATCTTCATGCATAACAATTTTAATCCCTCACTTAATATGTCGATAAATAAATAAATATATATATATATATATTTACTGTTTTGTATTCATCAATGATGCAAATGAAAATGATAAAGTAAGCTGCATTTTCAAATTCTACATTCTAAATGTTACAGGGCATACACCGGCGCGGAGGGTTTGGACTGGTCGCAAGATGGCGGCCAGTGACGACGTGGCGGCGTCGTTTTCTCGCTGACAGAGGATTGGCTAGCTAGAAAAGCTGGCTATCATTGTAATGACAGAACAACCCCATGTTGTACTGCCAGGACAGCCATAGAGAAATTTGAAGTCCTAAACATGCGTTTTCGTTATTGAAGTCAATTCCGCGCTTTGAAACATTTATTCAACCATCCCATCAGGATGACAGAGTGTACAGTATCTGGCTTGCAGACAAGGGTACAGAGGACAGTCCTAGTTGTCACGTTCATCAATGTGTTAGACTACAACTAAAGATCTATGCACACACGCGCGCACGCACCCGCAGCCCACCCCCAACACGCGACCATACAAAACACAATCGATACGTACATGCCAACATACAAAACAATAGCTGAACGAAAAGAAATGAGAATTTCGAAAAAAGTTCCAAAAAAACTTTACAGAACCTATACATGCAATATTACGTGACACGTGTTATGAAGAAATGAATACAACATACGTACATAGAGATGATCACGCCACAGGCGGCATTGCAATGATATCCGAATATCTGCACGTACCACGTTACGACGCACAAACAATGTGGTAAATATCTTCATGCATAACAATTTTAATCCCTCACTTAATATGTCGATAAATAAATATATATATATATATATACTGTCTTGTATTCATCAATGATGCAAATGAGAATGATAAAGTAAGCTGCATTTTCAAATTCTACATTCTAAATGTTACGGGGCGTATACCGGCGCGGAGCATTTGGAGTGGTCGCAAGATGGCGGCCAGTGACGACGTGGCAGCGTCGTTTTCTCGCTGACAGAGGATTGGCTAGCCGCTATCCAGATAGTATGCAGAGATTAGTAATGTAATTTATATACGTCACAATACTGTACTATGAGCTACGAAAGACGGCATCGCGATATTGCGGCACGCAGCAGGATTGTTTTAGACGATGTGATGCTGTCATGCTATACGATTTGATGCAAGTCCTGGTTTCTGTATTTGCCCTGCATAGATGCGTGTATCAGGCACTCGGTTTTGAGTGAGTGCGCCGGTGTTTATTCAATAAACTGGAGGTCCTACACCTGTATTCACATTTGTCACATTCAAATGGCTTCTCTCCTGTGTGAGTGCGCATGTGTGACTTAAGCGTACTGGACGTATAACATTTATATTCACATCGCTCACATGCAAACGGTTTCTCTCCCGTGTGAGTGCGCATGTGTACATTGAGTTGACCGAGGCTCGTATATCTGTGTTCACATATATCGCACCCATACGGCCTCTCTCCCAAGTGATTGCGCATGTGTATCTTAAGCGAACCGGACGTAGAACACTTATATTCACATCTCTCACACGCAAACGGTTTCTCTCCCGTGTGAATGCGCATGTGTATCTTGAGATTACCAGATTTCGTACACCTGTATTCACATATATCGCACGCATATGGCTTTTCACCCGTGTGAGTGCGCATGTGTGACTTAAGCATACCGGATGTAGAACACTTATATTCACATCTCTCACATGCAAACGGTTTCTCTCCCGTGTGAGTGCGCATGTGTCTCTTGAGATCACCGGATCTCCTACACCTGTATTCACATATATCGCACGCATATGGCTTTTCACCCGTGTGAGTGTGCATGTGTGTCTTAAGCATATCAGACGTCGAACACTTATATTCACATCTCTCACATGCGTATGGCTTCTCTGCTGTGTGAGTGCGCATATGTTTCTTGAGATAACGTAACTTGGAGCTGGCACATCCACACACGTAGGACTTCTCTCCTCCAGGGCGTGGCATATCTGAATGAGAAGGCTCCATCAAACAGATCGCGGGTGCTCAGTTCTGCCTCGTTTCGAGCTCTCGCTAACGCTCTCCTGCTGGGAAAAAGATGTCAAAATAAATATCATCATTGACATACTGCAACACTGTATGTCACTGCCCCAGACGTAACAAGGTATGCTACGACGATGGGGTCACGGCTACAAATCCACCAGTAGTGACGTCACCAGATTTAGCCATATGCGTGGGTGATGTTTGGAGAGTGGAATAAAAGCAGTTGCATTTCACAGATAAAACTTTGAATCGAACTATGGCAGGGCTACCGCTGGCGTTCGCCACCTTCGCAAAATGCGATGAATAAATAACAGTGGCGATTTTATGACACTAAGTGACGAATACAATTGGCGAATGGTTTTCCCGCTCAGAAAATTACAATTGACTAACGAAATCGTCAAATTGCAGTGTCGTGTCATAAGATGTTTTCGTACATCTCTTTTCTCATACCCATCACCTGTTTATGCCTTGCTTAGCACATACGATCAAGTGAACAGTGGCTATAGTTTTTTATTGGTGGCTGAAAAATAACTTTGGTGGCTCAAGTCTTAACTCAAACTTTAAAATATGCAGAGGGAGCCCAGCTTTGGAATGTAAATACAGACAAGGGAGCCTTCCAGTCTCTCTTTCTTGGAGTCTCCCCTGCTTTGGAATCTCCTTTATCTCCAAGTCTCCATTTCTTGAGGTCTCCTACACCTTGGAATAACTGGGAGTAGGGAATCCACTAACTGAATTGCAGCTCTAATTCTAACAGAATAACCATGATCCTAACCTTAAAGCGATTATTGCGAGAATTTTCCAGTGTTTTCCCCACTTTCATGCTACCTACCGTTATTGTTTGAGTAACAGCAATTGTCCAGAGTAACAATAAAATGTCTTAGAACCTTCAAACCACCGAAAACTGCCAGTTTCGAACTTATCGTTTTTGTAAACATTCGTTTTCTGTCATCTTGAACTAACAGTAAGTATGCATTACCTTGTGGCGCCACTGCTTATCTGCCATACCCACAGTGAAGGCACGAACTTGTTTTCAATTCATCACCGACACAAATACAAGATTACCAATTCTGCCATTAGGCATTGTCGCGACACGATAAAATGCATTGCTGTTACGATGTATTCATATCCAATTTTCTATGCTATAACTGCATAAAATCTTTGTATTTTTAATGTTGGTGTAATCAGTCACATTTTCGCTGTCAGGTGAGACTATATTCAGCTATATTTAGTTTTTCTAAGTAAAAATCTCGCAATAGTCATTTTAATCCTTACCAAATCAAAGTTCTAACCCTTACTCTAACTCTATCACTAACCCCAACCGAATTGTAACCCTAATCACAGCATAACAGAAGCTCTAACCCTTACCCTTACTCTATCACTAACCCTTACCTTAACTCTAACACTTCCCCTTCCCCTAACTTTAACACTTAACCTAACTTTAACACTAATAAAATCGTAACCCTAATAACAGCATAACAGAAGCTCTAACCCTTGCCCTTACTCTATCACTAACCCTTCCCCTTCCACTAACTTTAACACTTACCCTAACTCTAACACTAACAAAACCGTAACCCTAATCACAGCATAACAGAAGCTCTAACCTACCCTTACTCTATCACTAACCCTTACCCTAACTCTAACACTTACCCTTGGTGCCTTACCCTAACTCTAACACTAACAAAATCGTAACCCCAATCGCAGCATAACAGAAGCACGGCAGGTGGCGCGTGCGTGTAAACTATTCATGTAGCCTGCATGCCAAGATGGGCTGAGCAAGCGTAACATGGTTGAGTAGCCACTCTGACGTGTCTATGCTGTGACCGGTTGCACTGTTACCCCAGTGAGAGTCATTGTGCCGACTAGAAATCACACGACTATGTAACATCGTAAATATTAGTCTTCGCCAGGTCCGGGAGACTATATCAAAGACGAAAAGAGACAGAACGAATAAAAGGATCAACCCTGCGGATCGCAGTGGAAAAAGCCTCAAGTTACCAACTAAAGAGGAAGAAAGAGAATTACAATACGGAATGACGGAGACAAGGAAGCTAAAACTGAAAAGAATCCTCTAAAGATGGCGTGTGTCGAAAGTAACGATGACGCTCTATGTGCGGCCACGTATTGTGGATTGAAGGAGAGTTACGTGGCTAGCATCTCCACGTTCCAAGAACACACTGACAAAACAGCCAAGAAAGCGTTCGGAGCCCTGGCAAGAATCAGCGCGCTCATGGCGGACATAGGTGAAATGAAAATAAAAATCGGGATCACACTCTACAAGGCATGCGTCAGACCTAATCTGGAATACGCGTACCCTATCTGGTATTGCGTGTCCGAGGCACAACTCCGGAAAATTTACAGAGTGCAACGCATAGCCCTACTGAGAGCCTCTGGCACCATCAACTCACCTGGAGTTCTAACTAGATAACCAAGTCCTCATGAATCACCAAACCCTAACCCGTTTATACCACATCAAATTCTCGGGAATCCTGGACCCTGTGGGGCGGCAGCCATCGTCTACGCAAATGGCATCAACAGCCAAGCTATCGCCATTCGAAAGACAGTCTCGTGTAAACGCAGCAGCTATCATGGAGAACTTCAGGCAATATTCCTTGCAATGGATTTCGCAGTCAACTACTCTGCGCTCCCACCATATCAAAACTCAGAATCTTCTCAGACTGCCAAAGCGCCATTCTCCCTGTCACGGCCCCCCAACAAAACAACAATTTCACAACACTTAACTCGAACATCCAAGAAAGAGTTAAGCAGCTATACACAAATAACATCAAGATCGACATTTGCTGGGTAGCAGGACATGCAGACCTGGCCGCAAACAAACTCGCAGATGAAGAAGCGAAACAGGCAGCCCTCGAGGCCGCAGAAATGGTTGAATCTGAAGACCACTCTCCGCTTTCCTTCTCCGAAGCCAAAGGAGAAATCAAGAAAGCCTTGTTAGAGCGATGGCAGGGTTCATGAGACAGCTCTGAAACAGGCAGGTATTTTCATCGTCTGGAGCCAAAGGTAAACGTAAGCAGCGTTCGCAGCCTCACCAACCGCAGAACGGAAACCAAGCTCAACCGGATAAGAACTGGACATACAAAACTGAAAGACCACATGTTCAAGATCAGGGCAAGCAATAGTCCCCTCTGTGACTGTTGACTTGCCAATGAGACCGTGGACCACAAGATCTTCCATTGCTCACGACTCAGGGATAGCAGGGAGAAGATGACCGACACGATCGATCTGGGGTATAGGATGTAGCCAACGAAACGAAGATGTAATTCATCACCAACAGAATCTGTCTCCTCTTTGTTTATTATGTCACCACGAACGTGGTGTGAACACCGACGACACCGATGACAATAACGCTTATGATAGTAGCGGCAACAGCGCCTGCGTGCGCGCGTTCAACTACGTCAACGACAACGGCGACGATAATGACAGTGCCGACGATAACGATAGCGTGCCAATAGTGTGATTCACTGAAACAATACACCAAAAAAAGACTTTACTAAATAACTCCTAGTACAATTCTATCCCAACAATTATATCCTGAACAAAGTTCTAAACTGCAGAAACGCGTACACTATTAACTGAACTGCACCTCAAACTCTTAAATACAGCATAAACATCACGAAAATATAACTGCGAACATCGAGAATTTCCTCTCAACACGCAACCGCAATCGAAACTAAAACCAAAACAAGGACGACTATAGCTACCAATGTGGTATGACTCTCATTGAGCTAAATCCAGCAATTATACGATTTTCAGTGTCTTTAAGATTATGAACAATCACTAGTAACTCACCGAAAGATTTGTGACACCTTTACATCCCTTTACATCACTACAGAATCCACATACATATATAGAAAAGGCTGACTACACGATCGACTAACGAAATGCAACCTTGCGTGTGGTGCCGTATTCCACACTGGCGCGTGACTGACGCGTATAGGCTTAACTTGCCGCGCCCTCTATCGTTTCCTAACTAAACCAAACTCGGGCAGCTACATGGGGTATGTGAAGACCAACACCAACCCAAACCATCAGACAATTAACATTGCCACCCTAACTGGGGAAAACAAGAATCTAACACCAGAGATGGATGCCATCATCAAACAGGCCCTCTCCAGATTCCTGTCTGAGTCCCTTCCAGTAATCTAGCCACAGACACTCTGTTGTTAACCCCCAATTTTATTTTAGTTTACTATAAGGAAACACTGGAAGCTAACAATACAAAGCGTGTAAACATTGCAACCATGACCTCGTGTAACAGGAGGATTAATGAATAACAACAACAACAATCTCTACTTGTGTTGTAGCCCGTTGATCTGATATGGCTACTAGTGTTACTGTTGTGATGTCCAGCCCTAGTGTTTACGTTTTGTATCAATGCTGATTCTATGTGTGCAATGTGACGCATGCGCGAGCGGACATCCGGGAATAAGAAATAAAGGAGCAGCGGGAATGGATTGGACAGAAACGAGGTTTTTATAATATTCGGAGTTCAATTATGGTTTGATATCATCGATCAACAAACAATAAGAACATTACATTGGCGACGAGGATCAAACGATCACTAAGGAAGCACGTGAGTGAAAATGGCAGCAATTCAGCTACAACCGCCTCCGTACGAGCCGTTTGATTGCCGATCCGAAGGCAAAAATGTCCGATGGACGAAATGGCTGCGTAGATTGGAATGTAACGTTTTCAACGGCTGTGGCATAGTTAACGCGGTGCAAAAGAAGGGATTACTGCTTATGTACGGTGGTTCCGACCTCAACGACATCGTAGACAGCTTCGATCAGCAGTTATTGGAGCCTATCCCGGAAATTCCAGGGTCGGAGAGTCAAACAGCTGTCGCCAGGTCAGGACTTTACGGGCGAGTAACTGCGCCATCACTGCTTATTTTTAACCCGCGAGCCAACATTGAATTTCAAGAATACCTCTTCAAGAAAACTGTCCAGGATACACCCAACATAGAGATTTTTACTGTATCCTTAAACAACTGGCAGAAACCGTCAGTTCGCGGAGCCTAATGCCAGAGGTTAAAGTCACAGATCATCATGGGTTGTCGGCTAGACAAGGTGCGTGACAAGGGGCTGAGTGATCCGGACGTAACATTAGCACCAGCTAGTGCAATATCGCCCGCAACCTGGAGTCACACAATGCACACGCCAATGCGATCAAGAGTCAAGGGGTTAATCTCCATAAGCCGGAACAAACCAAGTTCGCCATCAAAGTCATAAACAGCATGTCCATCCAAACAGCCGCCGGAATGTTCTCACCAAACTCGCCATCCAAAACCAGCTCCAAACAGCACCACTAAGAAGTGGCCGGAACTGTGGAGGTCAGTGGCCACACAAGGTGGATTCAAGAATGTGCCGGGCATGACGGGTCAACTGTAGAAGTTGTGGTAAGCAAAACCATTTTGCTCGCAGTATCGTTTGTCAACGTCAAGAGTGCGCACCAAATTAGGAGGAGCGTGGAAGGACACCTGATGTACACCTACAAGGGTGAACATAAGAAGGTCAAGCCGCCTCACCACATTTTGACATCGAACATTGCGCAACAACCAGCATCAACCATGATGGCTGACTCGGCTGAGAAGCGTCAAACCTGCTCTCTGAGGAACACTACCACTCCATGCAAATGTCCGCCGCGCCTCACAACGTTCTTCAGCAAGGATATACGGTATGGGAGACGACACCACTGCAAACGCTTGGAGAGTTACAAATCGTGCGCTGACATTACAAGAACAGGTCATGTGA